ATTTTGATGAATACGTGTTCCAAGTTTCATAGAGCTGCGTTCATTAGTTTAGGAGATATTACTTGATAATTTAATTTGGAGATAGGTCGTGAGACCGGCCCCAAGGCCGGCCGTAAATTCGCCCGTGACGTCCTAGGTTTCTAGTGCTGAAACAGTTAAATTAGCTGAAAAACATATTGGTTCACTAAATGGGGTTCTATTTGTGAAATACACATTTTGTGTTTAACCTTTATCTTTTAAAATTGCAGCGTACTAAATTTCAAGAAAGAGGCGTAGCCTTATGAATGTGGCAGGGTTGCCAGATGGCCTAAAAAACTGCCAAGTCCGCGAAACTAAAAAGGCCTATAAAGACTTATAACTCAATATATACTAGTATACTACTAGGTATATACTAGGATATACTAGGTTCCGGTGTAAAAATTCCATTTCTTTTTTTGCGGTTTTTAAAATTAAATTATAAAGTACCTCTATAATAAATTTTAGCTGAAAACGTAATTAAAAAAAAACTAAATCGCGGAATTTGTCCGGAAAAAAAGACCTTCTGGCAACCCTGGTCTGTGGGGGGCGCTAGAAATTCACTAGGGAGCCAAAGGGGGCACCAGCCTGAAAAAGTTTGGGAACCACTGATCTAGCTCATTGATGGTCGAGGATATAATGATTAAAGTAAATATTGTTAAGTATGAAAGAAGCGCTGATAGTTTCGAGGTCGATAAAGCTTACGAAACTGAGTTCTATAGGCTTGCATGAAAATTAGAAGTCAAATGCTGTTGTTAAACAAGGAAGACTTGACAATCCAAGCTTCATTCGAACAAGTGTCCATTTACCTGCTACAAGAGTAACTGACATTAAATACTTCCAAATTTATGGAACATTGGGCATCCTGGTGGTCACAAGAAGTGCAGGCCTCAGGAAAGGGAGCATTCAGGCTTGGCCTGGGAGCATCAGTTGATTATGTGGTCTATGGATCTCTACCACACTCTATGGAATGTGCTGTGACACATCTGCGACTTGGCCATGCTTCGGTGACGGCTCACTTAGCTCGTTTTAATTTGTCTAATTCCAGTATGTGTCCTACGTGCAATGCCGAGGACACTATTAATTATTTCATCTTGACACTATTAATCATTGTCCTTCGACGAGTGATTTCCGCAGCTTCGTTAAATTACGTAACTTTTAGCTCACAGCATCTGAGATTATGTTTCAGGTAGCATAGTTCTATTCCAAAATTTATCGTCCTTTGACGCGTGGCCGTTCGACCAAAGGCCGATTCGACACACGGGACAGATACGGACGGCTCGGTGACGGGCATCATATTCACTGCAATGCTCCGGCGCGCTCGGTCCGGGTGGTGTAAAAATTTTTCGCGTATTGGCAGACGATCCTGTAGGCTGATTGATCTAATTCAATGGATGTCATCGGTCTGGTGGCTTGCGGCTGATAATGTTACAGGAAGAAGTGTTATAGGCTGAGTTCTCGAGGGAAAGGATCATGATAGTCCATTCGAAGCACGCAGTGGTGGTCTCCGACAGGCGTCCCCGTGTCATGAACAATTTACCTACAGTCGATTTATTTAGCATCCGGAGTTTCAGTTTGGTGCTGGCACGCGAATATAATAATTTCTACGTACGTTTTAATTCTGAAGAATCGTCTGCCTCTGTACAACTGATTTTCTGCCGGTCCCTATGTTCAAATTAAATGATTTTACTTCTCAGTTATACCTTATGGACAATAGTAATTTTATGTTACCATTTTACTATTGAATGTTGATTGTTTTTACATAAACCGATTTCAATATGAAAACAGAACGAAAAATCTCATATTCAAATCCTTCGTTTAGGATGTACGTAATATAGCATTTATCTTTGGACAAAAATTAGGTGTAAATTGTGTATGAAGAATGCAAGAAATACGCTCCATTTCATTAAATAATACTGATATAAAACTGGAAAATGATTGCCAGAGTCTGAGCAATGAGCACACATCTTGGCAATATTGGGTCCTTACAATCGTACTGAATGCTTACAGTGATCTGCAAGCATACATAAATACAGTCTTACAGACTTATGCGTGGAGACAGTTCGTAAGTGAAGAAACCGTTGTTGAGTTGTTTTGTCATACTTGTTGGACGAATTAAAAAAATTTCTACATGCCCAAATGAGCTCTTAATGCTGTAAGTTTACCGAAACATCTTCGTCCAGCAAACCTGAAAAGTTATAGGACAGATGCCTACCGAGGAGTAATTTCGGCTTTAATTGCGACTGAAGTATTCTTTTCTTATCATGTATTTCAAACTGTTCAAAGTTAGCGGGAAAACCCATAACGTTAGAATATTTTACAAACCTCACTCTAAGCAACGACTTCTGTTGACTACAGTACTGGAAGAAAGGAAAAATACGAAAGTCAGACCAATGGCCGGTCGAGAGTATCGCGCAGAAGGTGCTTAAGATTTTCAGTTGGCCAAAGTTACCGTAACCACTTAAGCCAGGATATTTTAGAAATGCATCGTTCGTAGGAATATTAGAGCTCTAATGAAATAGACGCAATAGAGAGTTTTTGCGACATGTCCATTGTGATGCTCACGTCGACTGTTATTTTCATCGTATCTACGCCGTCAGACCAGCAGCAACGGTCCTCAACACCATTCGGTCGTGGTACTGCTGATGGCTAACTGCGGCAACAATTAATGAACGCGTTACTTGAACGGTAATACAATTTTTCGCCTGTAACGAGAAAAAAATGCATTACTAAGTCAATTCCTTAGCTCCGTTATTGATATTTATGAAAAGTGGCTTCTCCGGTTCAGCAAAACTCACAACTTGCACCTTAATTGAAATGAAGTTTTTGACAATAAGTGGCTCTGAGGGAACCGTTGTTTTATTGTTACTGCCTCTTCAAGTGAGAGAAAACTCACTTCGAACTCACTCAACAGTTCGAAGAACTCTTGAGTGAGTCAAGAGTTCGAAGAAGTTCGTTTTATTATTTGAACTCTTGAACCTCAAGCGTGCGAAACTTGATATCACCTCATGGATCGAATGAAGAGACGCTCCTCGTGATATAGCCATAATGCATGTTGTATCCCCGTTTCCAAGTTTTATTGCATATTAATTAATCTAGCGCTTGTGCATTTTTTCTATTTTCAGCCCATCCTGAATTTATTGATAAAAAGTTATTATGCGCTCTAAATTGAAAGAATAAATAATTATAGGAAATTTGAAGAGCAGTCTGTTAAGAATTATGTTGCAGTTAAGTGTCGGCGCCTCAGCTTCTTCAAGAGTTGAATTTGTGGTCCACATCTGCGACCCTTTGCGCCAATCCGCACTGCACATAATTTACTCATGATCGACGTAAGATGTATTATTAGCAGGAAAATGATCTGCATACCTGAAGGAAGAACAGACATACAATTATTGAGCACTAATAAGTGCAGGTTGAAATTCGGGGAAAACATGAATTAAACTATACATTTCTGTTATATAATGTTAGATATAGGGATATTGCGAATAATGAATGATTTTTCTCCTATCAACCGTAAAAAAATTTCACAATGCGCTTCGATAGGAATTTCTTCATCCCCAGGTGGGACGGAAACTCACCGACTGAGAAAATATTAAATGTAATTCTAATATTCGCGTGCAAATTAAATGAGAGACACCAGATTCGAAAGCCGCAGGGTTGAAATTTTTTATTAAATTCATATTAAAAACGTGAGCAATATAAGCGAAATTTACTCGTGCTCAACCCGGTAGCAGCATTTTTTATGAGTTCTGAGGCAGTTATAAGAAGCGTTTTGACTTTAGAGTTTATAAATAACAGCACATGGATAAAAATATCAATATTAAAATATAATAGCACATGGATGGAAAATATTGGATCAATATTAAAATATAATAGCATGGAAAAACTGCTCTCAATTTACTATTACCCTAACAACATTTAAAGATCGCCTATATAGGCTTCGGCCGATGAATCGTACACTCGGCGCAAAGTTATTCTAGGTCTGCTTGGCAAATCGATCGCAATCAGCCTCCGGCCAGAATCTCCATTTCCACTTTAAGGTCGCCTGAGAGTATAAGAAGGCTTGGTCAAGCCAAGTTATACGGTGCTTGCAATCTGCCCGCAGAAGCCACTTTTCGCAGCCAGGGACAACGGACATATAGAGCATGTGATTTACGTGCTCCTCTCAGAGTCGGGCCCCATGCATCTAAATTTGTTCGTGTAAGGACATCTTCAAGGTCTCATATACGTAGCCTCAAATTTCGATATTCAACAACCTAAGATTTGGGCATTTGTACCAACTACCTCGATGGAAATGTACGCTACATTATTTCGAATAGGTTTCTGATCCTTCTTATGCTTCTTTACATTAAAATTCACATAAAATTTTCATTCCTTGGCTGTAGCGGGCAGTACCTTAATTTTTTCAGAGAAATTTTTGTCCTGTGTCTACATGTTTTTGTCTTGTAATCCACGAGACGCTACCTGGTGCCCATGCAGTTGCCAAAACTGAGTGGACGAGCATGCCTGCGTTTGAGTATCAAAAGTAATTACATAACAATTTTCAGTACATTCGCACTGATTGAATTGCAAGCAGGGCAATAATCAATACAACCTGCCATCAAAAATGAGTCCACTGATTCCTTTGGTGCGTGGTTCCTAGAATGTTGGTTTCAGAACACCTATAAGAATTGAATTATTTTTCTGTATGATTTATAAAATAAAAAAAAAAATCCGCGTATCGTATAATTTTGTCTAGTGGTTTGAGCACATGTACATTGCAATTAACTGAATTAATAAGCGCTGTTGATTTACAAGAAGAGAAATACAAAAGATTTTGTTACTTGTTCGGCCGTTGGATGCTTCACTAGAAAATATTTTTCCTTTATACAATATTCTTGCTGGTAATAACCATAAACATCGACAAGAGGAGCGACTGAAGTTCAAGGACATCAGAGCAAGCGTTGTCAACTGGTGGCGGTGGCTATATAACTCCAGCAGCGTCCCTGATGACTCCAAAGCGTCGTAGGGACTCGAGTGACGTTCGCCGGAGATCATTCAACTTCCAACTTCGAAGATTTCTGTCGTCAAGAACTTCTCAAAAATCAATTCGCACCTCCACAATGGTGAGCGAGTCTTCCGTAAAAGGTATTCTTTCAAATTGCACCATCTCTTTTTGAAAACCATGTTGTCTTTCGATAGTAATATAGTAGTAATATAGAATATAATATAGCAATGTTTATTACGAGTGCTACGACTGCTATTTTCGGCAGTCGTAGTATTTATCAACTATGTCAATTGACCTGCCCAAATCCGGCTTTAGGACCTGCATTCTGTTAACTGTGTACATGAGAAATGATATCGGACACAACTCAGCCACACGCAAATTCTTAAGACAGTCTAACTATAAAGACATTTGCAGCGTTCACTGCTTTAAAAGGTTTAACTTTGACGTTTGAATAATTAACCTAGCTTGCATTGTCCTTAGCCTTAGTTGTGCGAACAGTCAAAACATTATAGTTGGAATTCGACTAGTCCAATTCCTTATGATTTTTTAAAAATATTTTTACAATATTAGTAATGTTTAGACACTCAATTTCTGTCATGATTGAGTTCGCTTCTTTGATTTAAAACCAAATTGCAGAAAAAACCACTTCGCGCTAAAATAAGTCTAAGATAGAATGCGTCTAACCTATCCCTGCAAATAAATAGCCATCGAAACCCTGTATGCAGGTTAAACTTACTGTATATAGTATTTATAAAATACACTTGCCGGGACACCCTTTTAAATACCCCTTCTTGACAGGCTAATAACAAAGACAGAGGAATTTTTTATTCGTGAAAAGCATGCCATGTGCCCAATAGCGGGAAGCGAATTTAAAATAAATAAATTGCAAATATCATCCAAATTGCATTGAAATTTCAACTTTAAATCAAACTGCCTACAAGCTGCCAAGTCAGGATGAAAGACTAGTTAAAAAAACGGCATAGCTCCGAGTGAACATAGAACTTTACATTTGGAACGGCCAAAGTCAATTAATAAATATCAAAACATATCTGAATTTGTTTATTGCACAGAAGAAGATACTATACGATAAACCCAAATTTGTCATGCTGGATTACAAATTTTCTTTTGACCAGCGCAAGCGATTATTCTTCCTCAGATGAGAGATTTCTAAAAAATTATAAGATTCTATAGCATGGGTAGTCGGTCCAAATTTTATTACAATTTCAACTAAATTTTTGTATCAAATCATTGTAAAATAGATGACTGCTATCAATAAACCCAGTACACATATCTTGTACCTTAGCCAAATATTGTGTTTTTCTTTATTTCTTTACTAAGATCATTTCACCAAAGTCAACGATTTGACGCGAGCCAGATTTGACCTGCTATATAGACCTGCCGATTTGACCTGCTTAGAAAGCCTATGATATGCGACAAAATATTTTGCGCATACCTAAGTTATCGCGAATTTATTAGCTTTATCATTGACAACTCATTTTAGATCTTACTTAGCAAATCTTCATCTACAAGTAAGGTTGCATCTAATATTAGCATGTAAATGACTGATATATTGCATTGTGAATGTCTGATAAGTGGATTGTTGGACTAAAAATAGGCATCTCACCAATTAATGAATTCCTAATTGTTGAAAATCATCGATGTTTATAGTTTCTCAATAACATTTTTTACTAAGCATTAATACACATGAATTTGTTGGATTTACCGGAACATCATTGAGTAGAAATTATAGCGTACTGAAAATGTTACAGGCTGCAACGTGTCCCAGACGTAAAACATCACGAGCATGTTGTTTTTGGTACAATTAATTTGACTTTATTCAGGGTACAACTTCAAGAATTCAGCAGTTACTTCAGAGCGTGTGCCAAAGTAGTAACTTGTATCTATGAGGATTTGAAAAACGTTCGATGCAAATTCGATAGTTCTGATGTTAGGTAGAAGTTAATTAAGATGCATATTAGATTCTCGTTCGAAAATAAAAATAAGCTATGCCTCACAGCCGTAAGTGACAAACGGCATGAGGGGAAACCATTCATTAATCAGGCAACCAGAATCAAAATTTTGAGGAGATTGGTTTCAAGGCTTTCAATTTTTTTATTGGTTTCAAGGGTTTCTGGTCAGAAGAATCTACCAGCCTGATCCCTATCCAGGAGTGGAGACTCTATGTAAATGAGTGAACACATTTAGGTTGGTGAGGTGAAAAAGTCAGGAAATAACGCTTGCGTTGATGACACTGAAATGATGAGCCGTAAGTAAGATCTTGAGCGTACAGTGATTTCTCCATTCAAGGTGCATATAATTTTGCAGATGCGTTCCCTCGCCGCCGTTCTCTTGGTTGTGATCAGCCTGAGCGCTTCATGCCAAGGCAAAGTTTACTCGAGGTGCAAGCTTGCCAAAGAGCTGAAATGCGTCTACGGCTTTCCGCAGAGCAGCCTCGCCAACTGTGAGTAATCTCTACGTATTACGTTTCCTTGATAAAACCGTGGATAGTTTCACAATATTCGGAGTACAGCACTAGCATTACCTTGCGATTAGAAATATCCCACTTATAAAGCAATTCCCTACCGAACGAACCTCTGAACAGGGGTGTGTCTGGTACAGGCCGCGAGCTCCTTCAATACCGCGGCTGTTGGATACTACGGGGCCATTGCTAGTCGTCCACATAAAGGCTACGGCTTGTTCCAGGTAAATCATGGCACCTACTACACTTTTGTCTGTTAAGGAAGACTTCCAATATATCTGATTATAGGATAGCGATTGGAAAACACGATATCAATTTTGAAGCAATAATCGTGACTGAATTTTGAATAGCAGACTACATCGTAGTCACAGGTTAAACGAAGTATTTTCTGTTCATTTGCAGTTGAGGTCATCACATAAGGAACTCTGAAAACGTAGGCTTTGCGCAATTCATTATAATGGTTGAGGATGTAAAATAGAAGACTGGGTATAAGAACGTAATTTATGCATAAAGTTACATAATTTCTGCTGGTTTCACTGATAATTTGAGATAACAAGGAAGGGAATTCATCTTTGACCTGATAGTTGGTAGACGTACCAAGAATGTACGAAAATGAATTATATTACAGTCAGCTGATCTAAAAATGAGGTGAAACAGTGAACTTATACATTGTTTACAACATATCAAACCAAGTAGCAACGATAAAAGCAAAAAGTTTCCAAGACGAGAATAAAATCATTATTCTCAAAAATCATCATTGACAACTGGTTATGTTCGAGAATTTACTGATGATATGCGAAGATCTTGGAGGGTCGTTCATCGGAAAGTTAGAGGCATAATGCAGATATAGAATTACATGCAAACAAAGTAGTCTTTCGAGTCCAAATGGAAGGAAAAAATAGAACAATTGTTAGAATATTTAAAGAGGATCGTATTTAAGTAGCAGTTTGTGTGTCCAAAAAATTGTGGAAAGGCAGAGATTGATGTCTCATTGAAAACAGTTCATCGGATGATCCAATCTGCATTATTGCACACCTATCATCAAGTGTCCACGCGGAACTAAAATAAAGGTCGGGAGAGAATGATGAGCGGAGTGACGTACAATACGATTAAATTAATGCCAGTGATGAATCCGAGTTTCGCTTGTTCGGTTTTGATGAAAACGGATTTTATTGAGAATTTTATGTATTTGTCTGGGAGCATAATTTCCTTTTCTGTGCAGATCAGCGATTATTTTTGGTGTAATTCGGGCACAGGCATGAACGGCTGCAGCATCAGTTGTGCGAGTGAGTAAATTTTATGCCTGATTATAAAAATTATTTATCTGTTGATGAACTAGAATATAATGAATGGGCCAAACAAAAGAATCGTAACTATCAGTTAAGATATCTAAAACACGGAATTGAATCAACAACTAATTTTTCTCGTGCGAATTTTTCCCAATTTATTTTAATTCATTGAATCTGCTCCTATATTGAATGTGTAACTAACTTAAAATAATTTGCTTGCGTTAGCTTAGAATATATTTTTTTAATTCAGAACTGAAAGACAACAATATTGCGGACGATGTCAAATGCGCCAGGAAGATTTTTGGGCGCCAAGGCTTCAACGCCTGGCCCGGCTGGAGGAACAAATGTAATGGCAAGAACTTGTCCTCCTACACCCGTGGCTGCAAGCTTACCTGCTGAGCGCCGCCGCCCCGTGAGCTGATAGATCTTCCTGCGCGATGATCGGCATTTAATTTCATTTAATTAACACATTTGATTCATATATTATTTGTGCATTCTGCTTCTGCAGTGCCTGCTCAATGCGCTGGCTTCACATTCTAACACTATTTGGTCATATTAATAATATTGACCGATTGCTGAAGCTTTAAAATCGCTATACCTACGTGTTCTTGCATTTTAATATAAACTCTGTGTAAATATGCCTTTTATTTTCCTTGTCCTTCCTAATTATTTTTTTAAAAAGTTGTTAAAATCTCTTTACCGATAGTAAATTATTTTAAATTTAATTGCCACTCTACGTTGCATTACGCACAAATCCGTATTGTTTTAAATTTGAGAGATCTATACTACCATGTTTCTTTCAAGCATGGGTTGAGGCCTTATCCATTGTGCATTTTCCACAGTTATATTCCAGCTTCATTCCCTTGTGGCTTTCAAACAGATTTATCATCAAATTTCAACGTCGAGCATTTTTTTTACTGTGACTTGTGGTCGAAGTGCTTCAAGTTTGTATGGTGGAAGGTCTTTCGTCAACGCTGATATCACCAGCAGCATATTGACGTCGCCGACCTTTAATAGAAACGTTTTGTTTTGTAAAGGAAATTGAATCACATCTTTCTAGTTCAATCAAAACAACTTCGTAGTTTTTATGTGGTTATTGAACCCTACAAATCGTAATTCTGACGGTTTTTAGTGACGAGCGGCGAGGTACCTAAGCCTGTGTACCTAAGATTACGCTTGGAGGAGTCAAAAAAGTCCCAGTGGATGAACAGTACAGTTATAGCTCAGCTAAAGACCAAGAAGGCTGCCTACAAGCGTTATTTACGAACTCGCAGCGATGCTGATTATAACCTGTATGCAAGAGCTCGAAATCAGATAGAAAAAGTCTTTCACACTGCAGTGAAAAACTGAAAAAAATGTTGCCAAAGATGCAAAAAAGAATCCGAATGCCCTCTTTTGTACGCCAGTTTGAGGTTAAGACAAACGACGGTATTTCTGATTTGAACGTAGATCTACGTAATATTTCCTCGGATGAGGGCAAGGCTAACGTTGAGGCTGAGGACTTGAACAGTATTCCAGCTATTGAGGAGCACCGAGTAGAGTAGTAGTAGTAGTAGTAGTAGTAGTAGAGGTTCTCAATACACGAAGTAGAGGTTCTCAAGCGCCTGGTCGCTCTGAATCTCAACACGTCATACCCGGCTTGCACCATCGGAGACCTCGACCAGAGCATGCTTCGGAACTGCTACTGAATAACTTGCCTCGTACATACTCGCATTATTTTTTACATAAAGCAATCGACTAAGTCTAAGTCCTCTTGATTGTGAATATATTTCCTTTTGATTAGGTCATTAGCAATCATTGGATGCAAGTCCGTGGCAAAAAGTACATCAAAACGGTGACGACAAAAAAAGTACGTACTGTACACAAAGATATTTAATTACGACCACTTTAGCTCGCCCCCTGTGAGTCACCGTTTCTGAAATATAGAATTAATCGTCCGACTTTCACCGCTGAAAAAATCTAAAACACCTTCCTGATAGGCGACGAAGTAGCTTATGATAGTGAGCATTTCAGAGCCGCCGCTGAGTCCACGCAAAAATTTTCATATTTCAATACTCCAAGTGGTTTTGCCGACGTTATAACTCGAGGCGCACTTGATCAAATGGCGGATATGCGGTGTGGACACAGGGAACCAAAATTTCCAGTGTAGTTAAGTGGTAGCGTTTGGTTGCCTTTCTTCAGATTTTTTTAAATAAACATTTCGAGGAAGAGTTGCGATTACGTATAGCGATTATGTTGGCTATAAATTCTTAAGCTCCATTTTGGATTTTCGTTTCGCTGATTGTGATTCCTTCTTTGTAATTAACAAAGTAACTGTTAAATACGCAGGTTATATTATTATCCTTGTACGTACGTTTAGATGAATAACAACAGACTCCTGCGTTTCGGAATGATTTCCTCGAAATGAACTGGCAGCACTGGACGGGATGAGAAATGTCCCCAAGCAAATAACAGGACAAAGGAAGAAATGTCTCAGAATAAAGTTATCAATCCTGACAGAAATTGTGTTCCAAAATTTAAAACACAGATCACAGGTATTATGGAGCGATATCGGACTGCAATATATAAAACGAGACGTAACGTAGCGATATAAGACATTATATTATATTACGACACAGAACATTCCATTACTAGACGTGATTAAGGATTCTGAACGCGCTGATTGAAGATTAACAAGTGAATTGCTTGATTTTGAATGAACAGTTGGGCAGACTCTGTGATATTTGGCTGCCATAACAACTTGGCTGCTACATTAGTGGGTTGACTTAGAATAGAAGTGTCGGCACTGAAGAAATAGGCCCTTGGCCTGTTGCCGATTCTTGTACTTTTCGTGACTTGATTCTTAAGGGATCCAGCCTTTGGAACCCGATCTTTTCATAACTGACTATTGATTTCTATAACTGAAGATTGAATTGGCGTTGTAGGGCAAACAGAATAATATATATATGAAACAGAATAATACATATATCTCTTTCTCTCATATCGTATTGTATATAATTCACTTAAATTATCGCAACTAACGAGGATGGTACGAGTTCAGGGTGGGTTCGTGATGGCATCAACGTAACAATGAAAAGCAGTACAGATTCATGTTGCGAATTTTTTTAGAATATACAGTGCATGGATCAAATATCGTTTTATAGGAAAATGGCAAGGAGACGATAAAATCATGCGTATGACATATAGTGGCAACTGGACTGACAGCTTGCATCTCGACAAAAAGTCCAAGCAGCATATAAAAGGCTGATGGATATGACGATTTCGACAAACTCCACACACAAAGTAGGAGTTGTACTGAAGTATAACGAAATTAATGGATTAATTAAAACTGATTAAAACTAAAACACTGGATCAATTAAAATGCAAATGGCAGAGAACGGAGAAATAAAATAATCATGGTTATATCGTAAAGAACGAATCTTCATGCGGTCCTTGAGACGATGTCAAGTCGTGTGCGCATGAGGTGTCAAGATTTCGCGCGTCACTCACCTGAAGAGGTTGCACAATAAAACGGCGGCTACCAGGAAGACATTTATTGGCAAGAACATTATTGCATGCATTAGACAGCAGCGCGATTGCTAAAAAATAACCTCATCAAATAGAGTCTGCTTATTATGTCTTGTTAATCTTTGAAAGACGAGGATAAGGCGGTTTTAGGTGCGTGAATTTTGCTAGACCGGAGAAGCCATACCTCATAAACATCATTAGCGGAGCTGACATATCTTTCCTTTCTTCCAGTACTGTGGTCAACACAAGTTGATGCTTGGAGTGAAGTTTGCAAAATCTTCTAACGTCATAAATTTTCCCGATAATTTCGAACAGTTTTAAAACACAGCATTAGCAATGAATACATCCTTCAGTCACATTTGAAGACGAAAATTTCACCTCGGAAGGCTGCTTTCCTAGTTTTCCACGTTTACAGTATCATGACGCGTCGGCAAACTTTCAGCCTTCGTAGCTAATTTAGACATGAATTTGTTTTAATTCATTCAACAAGTTTGAAACCATAATTTACATCGGATTCTTCACTTGGTAGGGAAGAAATAGACTTCTGCATCACACTCCATGCATAAGTCAGTATCATCTCTGCTCTATATCATCCATTACGAATGATTGGAAGGCTGGAGACCTGATGTAGAGGAAATTCATCTGGCACGGCAACAGCGGCCAATCTTCATTGGTCCACAGCGCCACGTCAGCAGTTACGTAGCCAATTAGTACACGTATAGGTAGCCTTGTCGTTAGCTCGTTGGAACTCGTGGGAGGTGGAACGCGCACTTCTTGTTTCCACTCTCGTGTAAGCTGTAGTTACTCTTAGTTCTAACGTCAATCTGAATTCACTTAGGCCAGATTGGTGCTCATGATAGTATTTTCTGACCAATCAACTAGGTTCCCTTGTCTGTTGAAAATAAGCTAACCTTGGCTCCGGCTCCTATCGAATGCTTGCCATATGAACGCAAATAACCATAAACCGGTGATTGTTGGCCCCGTGCTCCTTGTTACAGATAGACCTGACTGGCCACCAAGGGGCTACTCATCCACGAGTAACACGTCCTGGCTCCATATCCACAACCTCGTCCTCATCCTCCCCTACCTGACGCTCTAGCTGAGGTTGCCTTACCTGCATCCCGGAGCCTTACCTGCATTCCGGAGCCTTGCCTTGCATCCTGGTGGAACCTTGCATTCTGGTGGAACCTTGCATCCTGGTGGAACCTTGCATCCTGGTGGAACCTTGCATCCTGGTGGAACCTTGGGAACCTTGCATCCTGGTGGAACCTTGCATCCTGGTGGAGCCTTGCATCCTGGTGGAACCTTGCATCCTGGTGGAACCTTGCATCCTGGTGGAACTTTGCTACCCCGGCAATCTTGCTACCTCTGCCGTTCAAGGGCACCTGCAGCCTGGCCTCCTTTATTTTTTCTGCTTGATTTCTATTAATTATTAAATGCTAAGTAAGTTACGCGTGTTTCGATTTGCGTCCCGTGGCGAGGCCTGGTTGCGTTAGTGCGACTGCGGAAAATTCCTTGGCTGAACTAACCCTGGACCGGCAGTAGTGGTCCTGAATTTCTTTACACCTGACACGCCCTCTAGACGCTGATCGACAGCCACTCGTCCAGTCCCATAACGGCGCCTAAGGTAATGTTGGCACAAATTTTTAACAAAGGACACGCGAGTTTGCCTTTGATTGTCAGGAGCAATTGTTGTCTTGCATCAATTGGAATGCGAGCAGTGCAATATAGTCAATATAACCTGCCATCGAAAAACTCATAAAACCCTCAAATAAACTGTCCCACCCCGTTTAGTGAATAGAAACATATCATTTAGTCAGTAAATAATTTACTTAGTTCCTATACTGATGGTTTCCGTACACTTAATAGCATTAAATTTTTTCCCTGAGATATATGAAAATACGAAAAAAATGAGAGATCAGCTTATGTTATTCCTTCATTTATTGATTCGACCAGTTGAAGATTGCTCCTAACTGAAATAAAACACTCTGTTCCTCAACAAGAAAAATACAAAAGATTAACGTTGGCGGTACGATCGTTGGTTGATTCACTTGAAAATATTTTTACATTGTACACTATTTTTCCTGGTAGTAATCAAAAAACATTGACAAGAGGAGCGACTGAAGTTC